ATTCTTACCATTTTGTTCAATATAGTGAATCCGCTGCCCGTGGACGTAGGCGACTTACCGAACCACATTAAATCTTGTGTGTTATTGCTTGTTTGAGTTCCCTGGTGTGCCCCCGATCCGCAACACCAAAAACATCGGCCATTTCTTACCGGTACAGTGAAAGCAGGTGTCGCCCGTTTGCAGAGGCCGGTGTCACGAACCAGAATCGTCTGTTGATCGGAGCTCCTCTCACACACCTTTCTCGCAGAAACCTGCTGATCACTCTCTGATGAAGCCAGTTCCACAGCATTTGAAGTTTACTGTGGACGAACTTGGGTGCTAAAAACAGAATGTAGAGCAAATACAAATCACCCTGACCGAGTCGGGGAACAGAACCAATGCAAATGACAATAAACAAAGCAAACCAGAGACCTCCTTGACACGGCTAATAACAACAGGATCATAATCTTCAGTTGAAGAAGATCTCAATTCAGCATCGTATGCGAAGAAATACACAATCAAACTCGTGATGGCAACAAACATGTTCTTGGGATGGGTTTCAAATTGAGAAGCAACCTGTCCTTGACACTGCGTTTGGAGAAATTTGAGGAGCAGAGGAACAAGAAAGGTGAAAATGGCGTGGTGGCGAGGAGTGGGCGGCGCAAGCTGCTGTTGCAAGAAGTAACTTTCTGAGCTGATGAAGGCAACATTGATCCCTCCAGAGAAGTTCCTCCCCATGTTTGCACTTGCATAGGAAGCCATTATTGGATTAATATCAATTTGTCTGAACAAGAAAACACAGAGATGAGTTAGTATTGAAGAAGAAATTAAAGAATCTATATTGAAAAGCAAAGGGGGAGAGAAGAATGAATTACCCAGTATTGCTTGGCAATAACTTCTTCTTTTTTATTTATAGGGTGGAAGGTTTGGACAAATTTCATAGCTTGGTCACTTTTGTCAATTGTAAGTGACTTGGACTAGAACATCGTGTTGGATTTGATAAAAAGATTTATAGAGTTCAGAAAGCCCATGTTTTCAGAAACCTTAATGACTTGAGAAAGCAAACCCTCCATCGGGGGTGTTTGACAAGTTGGATTTTAGTTTTTTTTTTTTTATTAAAATTAAAAAAAAGATAAAATAGGTTAAAATAGTTAATAAGACAAAATGTTACATCAAATCCATAATTATTTTACTTTTTCTCTCACAAACATCACATTCAATTATAAAAAAAATTCAATCATCTTCCCATACACAAAAATTTTAGCCTATTAAAATAACCAAAAACTAAAATAACGTACTAAAATAGGAATTTTCCAAACACCCAGATTGTTTTGTTTATTTATTTTTTTGGCTGGACACCAAACCCTCCATAGTTTAATATTTAGTTACTTAACAAGGAGAAAGAAATTTTTCGTATGACTAATTTACTAGTTAGTTATCATCCTATGCTATGCTGATTAACACAATAAAATCGTATGTATATTTGAAATCAATCATATTTTACATTTTTATTTATATCTAATGTCGCAGATCTACAATGATTAAGTATTTATTATAATAATTATTGTCATTATATATATATATATATATATTGTCGGAGGGAATGCTAGAGGGAAGGATCCAGTGCAATTATTTTTTCAAAACAATTTTGTTGTATTTTTTACTGTAGCAAAAAACGTTTAAACACAATAAAATAAAATGATATCAAAATATATCTATTTTTATCATTTTATTTTATCATTTAATATGTCAATCTAATTATCCATATTAATTGGTGGTAGACAGGCTCATTACACTAATAAATATAATATAACATACAAATTTATTAGGGAAAATTATTAGAAACTCAACAAGTCTTTCTTTTAAATTAATACACGCAGCAGTCCTTTTGTTTTGGTAATCTGTTCCGTAAGATCCCATTCATTTTTGTGAATTGGATTTTATGACTTTTGTACCCTTTTATGTGATGTATGAAAATGTTTTGGAAAGGATTTGTTTGATTGCAGTTGATTACGTTGGTCTAGCGTGGCTGCATGGAAAGATGATGTGTGGGCAGATTTTTAGGAATGGCTCGTTAGTATTTGAACACTACGTGGAGGTGTAGGGTAAGGTGTGCAAGGGATTTTCTAGTATTGCATTCAGCCGTTTATTTGAGCGGCGTTGTCCGTGGTGCAACATTCTTCACGTTCGTTGAAGGTAATGTATTGATTGTTTCTTCGTTTTGTTTTTTTGATTGTAGTGTGGGGTGGTAGACATTTTCATTATGTGGTAAGTGATTGTCATTTTGCTACATCCACACCCCACAAAAAAATGCGGTCATTGATATGTTTTTCGGGGGAAACCATACGGAATTGGTGGACGGGAGTTTTCATATTTTATATTTTTATATTGTTTCCATGCAGGAATGGGAGACAATATCATATTGTTGTGTTCATACGGGAATGACAACGTTGCCGTCATAGTTCGTTTATGTTGAATTCACCCATGTGTGAAAGGGGTGATCATCCAAGTCAAGTTTGGTTGGCAACAATGGGAAGGCAACCAACCAAAGTCCACATTGGCGGCCACCAACCATCTTGAAGAGTCAAGCATGGAGGCTGCCCAAAGGCTCTCCCACCTACTCCCTCACCTATAAATGGAGGTTGAGAGGAGAGAGCAAAATGTGAGTAAGTGAGCAAACCGTGAGACAACAAAGAGAGTGAGAGATGTGAGGCGGAGAGACCGTCTCTCTCGGTGTGAGCGAGGGAGACGGGTGAGTGGCTGAGTGAGGAGAGTGTGAGCTCCTCCTCTATTGTAATCTTTCTGTAATCTCCTCATTGGTATAGTGATAACCGGTTACTCTCCCGTGGACGTAGGCATTGGGCCGAACCACGTAAAATATTGTGTCTCCTTTTGTGTGGGTGTGTTTTTCTGCTTGCAATGATTTCTATAAGGTCTTGGGCGGGATCCCAGATCCCAACAGTTTAGATTTCACGTTCGACAGATTGGTCAATCATATTTCCGAACGTTTCTATGGGCTGCCTCGTGATTCGGTATCTATGTCATTCAAGATCCCCAGGTACAATAATTTCAAAATGGAAAACGATTTGGACTTCGAGAATATGTTGTGCCTTGGCAGGTCATTTGACTGGATCATATTGATGTTTGTGTGGAAGTTTGTGGTGAAGCTCAGGGGATCAAACGTGGTGGGAGTCCGAATGATGGACACAATGACACGGTGACCAGGGAGGGGGAAATGGTAGCATATAACGACAAGGAGGCTCATTTGTTGCCTAATTTTTATCAACACACTGGGAAGGTATTATTGTCGGTGAATTAGGCGAATGGCATAACTAATATCTGCCAATGTTTTGAGGGTGGGGCAGCAGAATTTGCACGGTCCTCAGCACATCCATTGTTTGTGACCCAAGCATAGCACCCACAGAATGTCAATGACAACGAACCAATTGCCATACAAAATAATTTTGGTTAATTCGATTTACGTTGGGAGTAATGTTTGAAACTGGGGGAACATATTAAATTTCTTGATTAGTTTCATCATTCGCAACAAACTATGCCATTTTCGGATCAAACCTGCCGTTCCAAACAATTTTGTTTAGTCCACTTACATTTGGTTACGCTTATAATCTCTGCCATAAATTTTCATGAATTGAACTTGTCGTTCCAAACAATTTTGATTACTCTCGGACTTTGAGGGAAATTCATACAATGCTACATTTGATAATTGCACCAAATGGGAAAGTGGCATATATTTGTTTGCTACCCAACTGTAATATCCCACACAATGGCATAGCCACATGAGTAAACGAATATCTCAATCAGTAGGACACATAAACATGCACCACTGTCATTTTAACGCTACAGTTTATCAACACCCAACGGGTACCCACCGAATTTCCACGCCTAACTTTTGGCAACAAGTGTATGCATGTAACTTATGGAGGGGGAGTTAATTAAACGTGACCATTACTGTCGCAAAGCATTGACAACATACATTACCAGTTATGAACATGACCATACCATACGACTGTACAACACGTACAAGAACTATGCACACTTCCCCAAGTGGAGGAGTCACGAAATTGAGTTAGAGGGGCACTATTAATTATAATTTTTTATTTAAAAACAATCATGATGAACATTAAAATAATAATAATTTTATGAGCTAAATTTAAACATAAAAAAATTACATATTCATTATTAATAAGAACAAATTAAAATTCTATAATAGTGTTGAATAGCTCGGTGCGGGATGATGGTGTAAGTTTGTAATTTTAACATAAAAAATTATGGATCAAAATTCTTAATTTTAGAAAATAAAAACACATCGTTTATGGCACAAATTATTATAAAATCTATTTAATTTTTATTTGATAAAAAAATATTAAAGAGATGACATTACTTACAAATGATGTGTTTTGAATAAAAATTATTAAACAGTCTTAGAATACTATATAGCATTGCCTACGTGATGCTCAAAGTATGAGAAATCACAAATCACACTAAGCAATCTGTTAACTGTTTGAAAATAATGAATTCATTATATCCAATCTATAAGATTTTTCGCTATACTATTGGTTTAAACTATTATATAAATAATATCACACAGTACTCTTAAAGTATCAAATAATTACTTGTTATGAACAATATAATAAATCCTTAATCAAAAAACATGTTAAGAAAAAAAAAATACATTTTATATATCACAAAAAAAAAAAAAAAAAAAAAAATTCTCAAAACTGAGGGGGGTACGTGACCCCCCTCGTCCTTCTTTGCCTCCGCCAATGCTTCCCCCCATTACATACATGGCGAAATACCATGCCGTGTCGGGGTCTACGAACTTTTTCCCAACTTCTAAACAAACTGTTCGCAAACTTATCAGCACAAACAGTACATCAAACTATCATCATTCATGTACTCGTCAATATTATGCATATGTCAACCCAACAAGCGCACACAAAGTTGCTTGCAAAAATCCAAAAAAACCAAAGCCATTGTCATGCAATCTTTGAAAACCAATGTCACACAAATAAAAATACCAAGTTTCGGTGTTTCAAACATGAGAACTGGACGCAATGCGTCGGGCACACAAAAAACTAACATCCACATTACCAAGCAAACAAATGTAACATCAAACTGTTTTCCAATAACATACTTCATAATTCCCAACCAAAACTAAAGCAACCATTCAAAAAAACAAAAACATAACTCTTGGACATTAGCCACGCTATTCGCTTTCCACATCTTCAGTCCCTTTACAGGATCATCTACAAACTCTTCCACCATAGTCGTACATGCGCTGATACAGGAAGTTCTTTCCATTGTCTTTTTTATCCCGGTGTGGTGGACATATTGCTGCATTAAGAAACAAACAATGATTGCGCAATCAGGCCTACTGTGGAGAATCAAAACGCACGTACGAGAAAACACTTCAGCAACAATAAAATGTAATGTATACTAATAAATTGTAAATTACTTTCATGCATGACATTCACGATTTTGGTCATTACTGTGGGGATTCATTTACTACCTGTAGTACCACGTCACAATCCTGTGAACACACCATGACATCATTCATGGTTGATTGGCTAGTTTGTCGAATGTAGTTCAACACACTTTTTTTTCTGTCATAGTGCAAAAGCAACAATAGCAATATAAGAAATTGAGAGAGATTGAGAGAGCAAATATTAGCTCTGTGTTTATGATGTATATTGCAACCAAATGGAACCTCCATTATATAGGAGATGTTTTACAAGATAAAATGATGAACAAAGGAAATATACAAATGAAAAGCCACCGAAAGATAGCTGAAAGCAAAAGGAAAAGAAGGTGTCTATCTGTGCTAGGCTAGCAACAACTATCTACAGATTAATATAGTATTAACACCCCCCCTCAAACTCAAGGAGGACAAACATCAACCAACTTGAGTTTGGAGACAAGGTCAACGAAGTGGCCAGGAGAATGAGTTTTGGTGAAGATATCAGCAGGTTGATCAACAGAAGAGATCGGATGGAGATGGACAGTACCATGAGTAACGTGTTGTCGAATAAAATGACAGTCAATCTCAATGTGCTTGGTGCGATCATGAAAAACATCATTGTGAGCAATTTGAAGAGCACTGTGATTGTCACAAAAGAGGGCAGTAGCGCCAGAGGGAGTAACACCCATGTCAGCAAGAAGCCAACGAAGCCAGAGAAGCTCCTGAGTAGTATCAGCAAGGGCACGGTATTCGGCTTCGGTACTAGAACGAGCAGTAAGAGATTGTTTCTTACTGCGCCAAGAAATAAGAGAATCACCCAGAAAAAAGCAAAACCCAGTAGTAGAGCGGCGGTCAGTAGGATCGCCAGCCCAATCAGCATCAGAGAAAGCACGAAGCTGAAGAGAGGAGCGGGCGGAATAATGAAGACCATGAAACATGGTGCCTTTGAGATAGCGAATGATACGAAGTAATGCAGCATAATGTGTGGTACGAGGAGCCGACATAAACTGGCTGACAATATGGACGGCATAGGCAATATCAGGACGAGTAACAGTGAGATAGACAAGACTGCCAACCAGCTGACGATATAGAGTAGCATCAGAGAGAAGAGTGCCATCAAGAGGGGTAAGACGACTCTGAGGCTCCAGGGGAGTTGAGGCAGTCTTGCAATCGGTAAGACCAGCACGGGTGAGAAGATCAGATGTGTACTTAGCCTGAGAGAGAAAAGAACCCGTGGAATCATGGAAGATTTCAAGACCCAAGAAATAGCTGAGAGGACCAAGGTCTTTCATCTCGAAATGATGGCTAAGAAATTGTTTAAGATGAAGAATACCATTGACATCATCACCGGTGATAATCATATCATCCACATAAAGAAGAAGCAAAGTGGTCCCTTGAGCAGTTTTGCGGATAAAAAGTGCAGTATCATAAGAGCTGGAGGTGAAACCACAGTCATGAATAGTAGAGCTGAACTTGGCAAACCAAGCGCGGGGAGCTTGTTTGAGACCATATAAAGCACGTTGAAGTTTGCAGACTTTATGAGGTGGATAAGTAGACCCAAGGGGAGGTTGCATGTAGACCTCCTCGAGAAGAACACCATTAAGAAAAGCATTAGTTACGTCCAGTTGATAAAGATCCCATTGTCGGGAGGTAGCAACAGCAATCAAGCTGCGAACAGAGGTGAGACGAGCAACAGGAGCAAAGGTCTCCTCATAGTCAATACCATATTCTTGATTGAAGCCTTTAGCAACAAGGCGAGCTTTATAGCGCTCAATAGAGCCATCAGAACAGGTTTTGATTTTGTATACCCATTTACAGCCAATGGCAGTCTTGCCAGGAGGAAGATCAACAATGTCCCAAGTGTGAGTTTTGTCTAAAGCCTGTAATTCATCAGTCATAGCTTGCTGCCAAAGAGGATTAGAGCGAGCCTCCCGATAGGAGGTGGGTTCATAAGTAGAAAAAGCAGTAGAACCAACAATAAAGTCACGAAAACGAGTAGAAGGTTGGGTTACCCGGTGTGGTCGAGTAGAGGCAGGAGGAGCCAGAGGGAGAGACTCACCAGGAGGGGAGGATCCCGAGGGAGCAAGAGCAGGACCATCAGAGCTGGCAGATGCTTGAGAAAGACCAATAGGCAAGGCAGTCTCAAGAAAGTCAGGCATAGGCAGTGAAGGAAGCTCATCAGAAAGAGAAGAGGGCCAGATAAACTCTATCAGAAGAATTCCTAATCCATAAGTGGGCAAGGTTTTCATATTTAAAGGACTAAGACCCATGTTGACTTATCATGGAAAATTCTTTGTAGTATTCCATTTTTGTTCTTTCTTTTTCGTTTTTGGTCTATGCAATATTGTTATTGAATTGTTCATCATCAATTTGCTCTCATTTTCACTGATTTCTTTTTTTTTTTTCTAAATTTTTACCCAAATATTTGATTCAAATACTACTTTGTCATGGGAAAAAAATAGCTAATCAATTTGAGTTGTGTTACAAGCCTGTAAATGAAAATAATTGTTCATAAGTTCAGCTCAGTTCGTTAAGTAAATAAGTGATCTCAAACTTGACTATTAAACTCATCTTATAAACAAATTAAGTTTGAACTCGAATAAGTTTGATTTATTTATCTTTTTCTAAATTATAAAATAATTATTTATATATTTAAATAATATAAATAATAAAAGTTAAATGGAACAAAACATTTGTTGGAAATTATAGCTCTCACACCTTATAAACTAAAATATTATAGACCATACATATTTAGGAGATTATAGTATAATTAACCAAACTTATCATTTCTATGCTACCATCACCCTCTATTTTATTATAGGGAAAATTACATCCAGTGAGATTAAAAAATAAAAAATAAAAATTTACAAAAATATGGAGGGATCACAGTTTTTTACTTAGGAGATTTAGTGCATGATTGGTGCAACTTAAAAGGGAGACGAAGGTTCTGGTGTGGTGAAAACTGTATTTCAGAGATGGACGAAAAAGGGATACAGATGAAATGCAATCTGCAGAAAAAAAAAATATGTTGGAAGAAGAGGCTAGGCAGAAAACCTGTGCTCTGATACCATATAAGAAATTGAGAGAGATTGAGAGAGCAAATATTAGCTCTATGTTTTTGATGTATATTGCAACCAAATGGAACCTCCATTATATAGGAGATGTTTTACAAGACAAAATGATGAACAAAGGAAATATACAAATGAAAGGCCACCGAAAGATAGCTGAAAGCAAAAGGAAAAGAAGGCGTCTATCTGTGCTAGGCTAGCAACAACTATCTATACAGATATTTAATATAATCTATTAAATATACTATCTACTATTAGCAGCTGTAGATCTATACAGATTAATATAGTATTAACTTATAACATATTATAGGTATAGTATTAACATTATCCACAACTTCAACTCAAGAATTACATAGAACTAAAAGTCTAAAACAGTTAAAATCAGACATGAAGCATTTTATTGCCTACGCGCAGCAATATCAATGTGTGCGTACATATTAGTCCCTTATATTGAGTACACTGCTCCCTGTGACAGCTCAAAAAACAGGTTGTGGCATAATGTCAAATGTCATAAAAGAATTAAGTGAAGCATTCTCTAACAAGTGGTATCAAATTCAGGTTATCATGGGATTTGAGTCCCGAGAGAGGGAAGGAATGCTGTGTATACAATGTCGCTCACTACAACTGCTCTAAAAACAGGCTTGCTGACGTGATATTGAATACCATATAAGATATTATTGAAATCTTCCCTAACACCAAGTTTTAGGCAAACTCTTCCCTAACACCAAAGAAGACCCAATTCACAGATTAACAAGCATTTGTTTGTGAATAATTCTACACGTACTAACAATCTTACTAAAAATATAAATAGTCAAATGTGATTGATTGTTAAAAAAATAATAATATTTAAACCTCCAAATGTTTGGACCTGGATGCTTTTTAGTAAGATCTTAAGTGTCATAGCATTGCTCATTGTTTACTAATGTAAAAAAATGTATTAAAAAAAAATACAATTGATGTGAACCCATATTATATGTAAGATAAATTTTGGGCAGAACACAACTAACATATAATTAATTCCAAACAAAATCATTAATTGTAAACAAGCTTAGGCCAAGTTTGGAAAGACTAAATAAGTGAATTTTTTGACTTTTTATGAAATATGGGTTGGATTTGGGATGGATTTGAAGTGATGTGTTAGAGAGGTGATGTGACTTAAATAAGATGATGTGACTTAAAAGTAAACAAGGCAGCATCCTCAGTATGAGGCCATGGAGGCTCAGAAAGAGCGAGTTGATCCCAAACATAATACATTTGGGAGAGGAAATCATTAATGGTCTGAGTGTTTTCTTGGCGCATACGGTGAAGATGACTCAGAAGTTGATATTGGTGAGCAAGACCGGTAGTCTGATAGCGTTCTTGCAAAAAATCCCAGATGGCCTTGGCTGGAGAGGAAGCAGACTCAAGTTGGAACCTACCAAACTGAAGGCTGATGGATGTAATAGAAGTATTGCGAAGCCAGGTGATGATCTGATAGTTTTTACTATCCCAATCTTCTAGTCGGTCGATATATTTGGCAGCGGAGTCTGTGGCAGCGGATTCCGTGGTAGCTGGGACTGGTTTGCACACATCCCCAGTAATGATACGCCAAAGTTTCTTGCCTTTGAGGAAGCCAGACATGACTTGTGCCCAAAGGACATAATTAGTCCCGTCAAGAATAACGGAAATAGGGTGATTAGAGGAATCCGGGCGATCCATGAGGGAAAAATAGCACAATGGAGGTAGAATCTGAAAAAACTGAGGTTACCAGTGAATTCAGAAGGCCGAAATTAGTGGGAAAAGGAGTGAAACGACCCAAAATATGACCACAGAGGCACAGAAATGAGAGACAAAGGGCGCGGCGCACGTTAGCAAGAAAGGGCGCGGCGCACGTTAGCAAAACAGGCCAGGCAGTGCACGGTAGCAGAGAGGGCTGACGTGTGCTGACGTCAGAAACACGCGGCGCCCGTTAGCAAGGTAGTGCGCGGTGCACGTTAGCACAGGACAGTGTGGAGGACGCGTGGAGCGCGTGTGAGGCAGAAGGCGGAGGCAGGCGACGCGCCGTTCACAGAAGTGGCGCGTGAGAGCGCGTGTAACGTCGGATTGCACTGAATTTGGTGGC